ACAGAGATTAAAGTGAGGAGCTGTGCCTCGGGCTCTGCAATGGAATCTCACTGGAAACAAACTCTGGGAGAACAGGCAAGCACTAAAATACAGATTACAACATCATCCTGGCTCTCAGGAGTCATCTGTGTGCTGTACAAACAGAAGGCAGTGCAGAGCTGTGACCTACCTCTGCATGGGCAGGAAAATAGAGACATTAAGCTTGGACTACAGTTAAATTAAAATTCTTCTGATGCAGGACTTGACAACTTAGTTGCAGAACCGTGATCACGAAACTATCTTGTGTCCATAATATTTCCTGCAATATTTCAGTGAATCACACATATATGTCAACATCCTTTGATGTGAGAACAGACTGCACCACTCTTCACCACATAAGAGATAAATATATACACATATATAAATATATATACACAGATATAAATATACAGACATTCATATATGTTGTTTCCTCAGAAATTCACTAGTGATGAAAACAAAAATACACTTAAGATAATGAAGAGTATTTAAAAATGAAAAATCTGATGTTTTTATCCAGTAGTTAAGTTTGGACTCTTTGCTCAGTAACTTTTAGTAAATACTAAAAATTCAGTGGATAACTAAGTCTTCAAAGCTGTAGAATGCACTTAATTGCTTTGTCAGCTGTGTTAATGGGATGAAGGTTTATCCTCCAGGAAGTGTTTCTCCATTATAAAACTGAGCAAGTAAAGTAAGATTATATATTCAGTAAACTAAAAATAGCAACAAAGGAAAAACCTCCCATTACTTTAAATCAACTTATATATGCCTACTTCCCTTCTATTGTCAAGATAAATTGTTTTACATTGTTTTGGGTTTTTTTCAGACAAAAATCAAACATATTTCTCAAGATGCATCTGATCTGATCCAAACAAAGGAATTATCCTTTCTCCAATCTACCTCTATTGATACATGTCTGCCTCCTCACCACATCTCAGATATACTGTCTAGGGCTTCTAGACAGATTCACACATGGTCACCCTTACCCCACTTCTGTCAAAATACCCAAAGAGGAAAGCCAAACGTGGCTCATTCTACAAGGCATTTTTATTTTTAAAAACATTTAGAGAGGTTGTCTTTGGGTGTGTAATATTTTAGTCCAAACTCCCAATCTTAGACCAAATATGGAGGCAGAGATATTTTAAGATTTTATGAAATATGAGGGGGGTTAGAAAAAAAATAAAAATTTTATACATGAAAAAGCTCTTAGGCACAGAAGTCCCTAGTTCTAAATTTCTTCCTATGAAGAAATTGCTACAGCGAGAAATAGAGTTTAAAAGGCAAAGAGAAGTGCTTGCATCCTGATGTTTTTGAATCATGGAAAGGAAGAGAACCTGGGCTCTTCCCCTTCCCAGAATGTAAAGCCTACCTTGTCATATCAACAAAGACCAACTGCAAATTCTGAAACCTGGGAGTTTTTTCAGTTAATATTGAGACAATGGATTTCCCCATGGGTTTCCTAGATTTTATGCAAAGCTACTATAAGTGGACGAGATCCTGCTGTGTGTCACCTCTGGTACTGTACTTTGCTAGGCTTTGCTTTTCATCAGGTGCCATGACTTAGAACTGCCTGAGCATGTGTCACCAAGACACAGACCCTCACCTTGGCTTTGGTTTTCATCTACATTCCTCTGAAAACCACATTTATCCAAGTATTCATAAGCCTCTTCCATGGAAAAACTGCTGAGTGAAAACTCAATAGCAGAAAATATGTCATTGCTGTCCACAAGTAGGGGTAAATATGAGGTGACAGATTTAGGAAAAAAACTCCAACACTGGAGTAGGTTCTTCACCCCAGATACAGCACATACTTTGGACAAAGAATGTGGGATCTTGGCTACCTACATTCTCATACTAACAAAAGGTAAAATGCTACTCTATTTTTCTTCTATACACTGTCAACATCTGCAAGATCAGTTTTGAGTCTTCTTTTATAATTTCCTTGTGTTCATAAATCCATTCTAGAACCTTACTCTCCCCAGTGGCAATCTCACTGCCATGCTCCCCACGGATGGTTGCCAGAAAGCCTAGCCCACATTCCAAGTGCTACTTTTTAATTACCTGTCACGTTCCTAGATTCTTCTAAATATACTACTGTCATCTCAGAAAGTAATAAATCAAATGCTGAAACCATACAAACTTGAAATTATTAATAATTTTCTCATTATTACTAATGTCTTCTACAATAACTGTTTAAAATATGCTGATTGATATGTGGAAGGTTGTACCTGAGTATCTCAGGAATGTGTAGCTGTGGAAGTGTACATGTCCAAGGCAGCAGCATGTCCCAAATCATTTACATTCTAAATTAACAGGAACACATAAAAAATAAGACCTATGAGAACTCATTTTGTGCCTCTATATAACCTGTGTAAGTTTTTTTAATAATAGAGCCCAGCAGCTGAATGAGACAGTGCCTTGTATACAACTGGACTCTGCCTTTGCATTGCCCAAAATGGATTCAGATTGATTTTGTACTTCCAAAAATTAAACTTTCTTTCTAACATGAAAAACATACCTTCATTCTTCCCTTCTTTTTCCTCTATGAATATTTTTATATGACTAATTCAATAAGAATTTCCCCTGCTTTCTGATGTCAGCCCAGGTCAAACCTTTTCCCAAAGCTTAACTGAGCCCACAGTTGTGCAATTTGCAAAATAATGGAACCCGATTTCAGCCACGGGATTTTTACAATCTTTGGCAACCAGATTATAGAGCCTGGTATTAGTAATTAACTACAGAACAACTAATTAAGCCTTTAATCACCTCTTGAATAAGCTAGATGAACTGAGCCCCTGTGGTCTCAGTCCACAGCACATCTGTCAATTCTCTGATGAGTCCTGGGACTCTGTTCTGAACCCACTCAAATTATCAATATCTGTACAACCAAAAGAACCAAAAAAAAGGAGAAAGTGAAGAATTAGCTTACAAACAGTGGGGTTTTTTCCTACATTGACTCAAGAGCCCTGTGTTTAAATATTCAGTGATCACACTTGTCTGTTTTCAACTGTGAGTTCTGGCTGTGGTTCTCCCTAGTAATTCAATAAAATAAAACATAACCTGGAAATGAGCAACAGGCCCCTTATAGAGAAATGGTATTCTGCAGACATTTGGTTGTAAACCTTTCAATATCTACTGCTTGTACCCTCAGGTTAGGATTAAATGAACTTGTTATCACCCCTCTGCACTACAGAACTGGGCAACAAAAACTTTCAGTATATAGTTCTCTTCTTGGTAAGAGGACCATTTCCAGACATTGCCAAGCTCCAAACAAGATTATTGTGTCCATGTGGAAGGAAAATGTCAGTAACAAACCAGATTTCTGAAGTTGGAATACATTTAAATGATTAAAAAATGCTTTTTCTGCAGCTGCATAAAGTGACAATTCTGGATGGTTTGAATTACACAAAGTAGAAGAAAGAGTTCTGTCGTGATTCTATCTTCCCCATCTCCATAGAAAATCCCTGTATGAGAGGCCAAACCAAGATGCAGCAAGCCCTTTGACTTTGGCCTTCAACTATGAGTAATCAGCATATAAAATGCATTCAACACATAGCATGAGCACATATCACAGACCTGAAGGTTCTTTAGTTCTACTGTTCTCACTAACTACTCAGGAAAACTTCCTTCTCCAGAAAAGCACAGTTGCCTGACCTCTATATTCCTTCCTTTTCTTTTTCCTCCTTAGCCCTTCTGGAATGAATTAATTTATAGACAAGCTTGATTAAATAAATATTAGCACTTGCACAAAGAAAGCAATTTGGTATCTTTAGAAGCTTTAAGCATTTTCCAAGTCTTTTCAAAATATCCTGCATTAATCATTTCACAACCTTTCAAATTCTCTCTAGGAAGATTTATTTTTTATCCCTAGTTTAAGACTTTATTTGTAGGAGTTTTGGCTTCTCAGAATTCTCAACTCAGAATCCTAACTTTGAAAAGAAGCTGCCATATCCACTGCTTCTCTTACCAGACCAACTTATCTGAATTAATTTGCCTTATTACACAATATCCTTGCATGAATTACCACAATTGCTACACTGGAACGTATTAAGAGGAAAGCATTTAATGTCGTTTTAGAGGTCTTTTAGTAGAGTTAAAACACAGAAGAGGAACCACATAATGAAATTAAGCAGCTTTCTACAAACCAATGATAAATATACTGTAGATATTGTTAGGAAACTTTGGCGCTTTCCTTCTTAATTTTTCTTTTATTACTGGCTTGAGATAAATAAATAGGTGCTGCATAAGCACTGCAAAAATACAAATTCCCAAATTTACAAATACAAATTCTGTCTGATTAAAGTGAAGTGGCAAAAGGAAAATGAGTAAACGTGTATCTGAGTTAATTTTACATTCCAAATTTTTAGACTGAAGGCCATCACTTCCAATATTGCTGTTTGCTAGTACAATGTGCTATTCAGCACCCATGTCAAATAGGGGAGTACAAATTATTCCTTCTAAATATTAACTACAAACTCACAGCAGAGTTTGTGTATAGAACTAGAATAGCACATATTCTAGAAATATTCTCAGAAGTTTGAAAGCATAAATCTAATAAAGTATTCCCCTCCACCTATCCTGTAACTTTCGAAGACAATTCTAGATCTCAGCAAAGATAGAATAAAACTGGTGACAAAGTACTGGTGACAAAACCGGTACAATAAAATTGGTGAGCTCTGTTCAAATGACTTGAAGATTTTGGTAAATAATTCACTAGAATAAACATATTCTGCCATACTCTATGGCAGAACTCATGCAAGCCTCATATGCAAATCATTAACCTCATGAAACTGCTAAATTGCCACAAAACAAAACATATTAAAGAACGGTTATACTTAAAACATTCTCCCATAGAAAATTTCAGTATTGCTGCCAACTGGAAAACACAGATAATACACAGTTAATCAACAGCTTCATTTTTAAGCAAGGGTGTGCTTTTGTTTAGCCAGTGGAATGATGGAATAAAGCAGCTCTTTTCTTACCCTTATTGTACATATTGGTGGGTACTTGGACATCACTCAGACTGATGTTCACAGGTAAGTTGTTGAAGTGGTCGTTTGGCACCAGAATGAATTCCTTCCCCAGCTCCAGGTAATTTCCTTCTTCATCTCGTTCATTGATGAGCACAGCATTGAAGTATTCATACTGCAACAGAAACCCACATTGTCTACTCAGAATGCACGTTCAGCATAAAAATGAGGTTTGAATGGTTTACTACATCTATCAATCCACCGATTAACATCTCCAGCTGGAAGAGCAGAAGTTTTTTATCCTCTCTCAGATTTCCTCTATCCTTTTTCTACAGGTACATTTATGAAAACAGATTTATCAATACATTTCAAGAAAACCCCATATTGTTTCGGTTCTATGGCTGCCCTGAAAATATGAAGGGCAGTCCAAGAAAAGCTCTAATCATAAACAATATATGTACAATTTTAATACAAAGCTTTCTAAATTTAAATATTTTTCTGGGTTATTACTTAATTATAATCTCTGTTTAGCTTATTTCCAGCAGATCAAGAACTGCTGTCAGTGCTGAACTCAGTCCCTGACAAACTAAAAGTGTTTTTACTTCACAGGAGTATTAACTACAGCTGTAGATGTGTACTCAATGTGTACCAACATTTCCTAAAATTATTTGCTTTATACTGAATTTTAGAAATGCACATCATAGCTGGCCTTGTAAATTATGCATACTTGAATATAGACATATAAACTGTGTAGTGACTTATTTTAAACAAGAAATTATTGTCTGCCTGTTAAAGATTCCTGAAGACTATTTGGCCTATTTTGCACAGAGCTATAACCAGATAAGCAAAAGCAATTTAGATAAAATTATTGATATCTTTATGACCTAGTTTAATCAGAAATTTTACTAAGCCTTGAAAGCAACAAACAGTACAGACTACTTTTTAACCTCTTAAATACATTAACCCTTGGCAACAATTTGTGATGTGCTTCCTAACTGGAGGAGGCCAAGGTTTAATGTCTTTGAAGAATCACATTAATTTAAATACGAGTCCCTGTCCTAATATCCATTTGAGAGTAAATGCATATAACATTTAAATATTAATCTATGTTTATTTGAGGATAAAGTATTCTGTACTAGAATATGCAGAAAGATACTGTTCTTCTTGAACTGAACTTCTGGAATGTATCATGCAATAATTTCTACAGAAATTCACATACTGCCTTCGCAATTTCAAGGATGCAAATTTTATTTGTCCATGGCTTTTATAATACTCTGTAAATAGATGGAAAAATTTTAAATAAGGATGTCAGAATACACTTGAAATCAACTCTAAAAAAAGCATTATTTCATTATTTCATTCAGTGGATTATTTCCTTTTTCAAATAAGTTAACTACTAGGCAACCTCTTGCATCAAGTTCTGTAACTGGCAAGGCTAGCCAACTAATAAAATTTGCTATTATTAAAAAAAAAAAAAAAGGATATTTAGGACTGATTGTTTCTTCAGTTGATTTAGAATTCATTGATTTATTAGTCTGAGTCTGCATTTTCTCATCTCAAGTCTACCAGTGTATACACAATAATATGATTTGTGTTTCAGGTTTTTTTAAAAGTAAATTGCAGCATAAAGTAGTCCTTATGAGATTATTAATATTTTCCTGTTTAGTTTTGGGGGTTTTTCTGTTTGATCAGGGTGGGGGTTGGCTTTGGCTTGTTGAGGGGTTTTTTGCAAGTGAGAAGCCTACAAAAATAGCATATTTTAACACAGTCCTGCAAGTTCTAAGGTTTAAACATCAGGTAATGTAGCAGCTCAAAAATACTTCTGAAAACGACGAGCATTTAAGCAGAGCTGTTATATAATGGCTTCTTTTGGGCTCTTCCTTTCCAAGGAAATTATTAAGTGTGACAGCTGAAAGGTAATAGAAAGAATATTAAAATTTGAAGAAAAAATATTAAAGTGAATCCATCTGGCATTCTAACACTACATTTGAGATAAAGCCTAAGGGAAAGAGGATAAAGTCTTGTTTGCTGACAACATAAATACTCTACCTAAGCTCTTAGAGAAAATGACTTCAATTTAGTGTTGTGAATGGAGGTCAGTCTTTGATACAACCTTAACTAGGTGAGTTCTGAGTGCTCACAATATAACACACCAGAAACTTATTAGTCTAGTAAAGATAATTATCCAGGTTAGGAGCAGATTCAGCTCTACTGTGACTTGTCCAACAGATGAGTTTACTCCAGCCTTACCTAGAGACCTGCAGGTGAGTGAGGAAATCTCCTTCTTGTCAGCTGTTATATGACTCATTAGAACTAAAAATCAACTTATAGACTTTTGTGCATTTAGATTTGCTCAAGTAACTACATTGGGGTTTTTTGCTTGTACATTCCTTTGCAGTATTTGCATCATTCTGCATGTTAGATTTGACATATTGAAAGCCCACACTGTACCGTGATAATAAGACAAGGCAAACAGGAATCTCAGTTTCAGTTTTATCCCTGTGAAGTTTTCCTAGTGAAAGCCAAGATAAAGGGATCAGTGCCCAGCAGAACAAGCACTGGACCATTCTGCCCCAGCAGGGAGCTGACCATATTTGAGACACCCCAAATAATCCTATTGCTGACAGTCTGCAGAACCCTGGGCTGCTCTGCCATACCCTGTAATCACAGGAGACAGAGACTTATGGGGCTGTTACACAACTATCACAAAACTGCTTTACAGCATCATTCATGTTGACAGCTAAAGCAAGTTTGCTTTAAAACAAAAGAAACCTTCAGCCACAATAAAAACCATGTGCTGTGTGATCCCTTTGGATGGCTGCCAAAGATGTATGTTAATTATGACAAAAATTAATTTGTTCAAAATATATATAATAGAAAAACCAGGGAAGTGCAAAGTTTGTGGCCTGCAAGGAGTTCTCATTGAACTGATCGGCAAGGTAAGAAGGAAACTTCTTCAAAGTTCCCTGTTCCAGCTTAGCCACTTACTTTGGCATAATGTCTCAGCTGAAGAAGCATCTTGATAACAATGGATACTTGTCTGCAACAAAACTCCAGTAATTCAGATGGAGTATTGAAAAGCATTGCACACATCTTACATAACTGCAGCACTGTACAGTGTGGTACAAGACTGATGTTCTATATTGCCTTTTACATTTACCATTCTGTCAATAGATATCCAGTGATGCCTAAATATTTTATCCAGTATTTGCTAACACTGTAAACAGCATATTTATTTAAACATAAATGTTTGCTATTCAACTTAAAAGATACATTATAATCCAAACTGCTTTTGCAACTTAGAGAGTATTTGGCCCATAAGAGCAAACAAGTATCAGTTTTTATCATTGCATTTTAAAATTAAGTCTTTTGGTTTTTAACAGCATGAAAGAATTCAAGCCACAATTCTAGTTCGTTCTATTTTTTCCTAAACTACAGAAATTGTTTTTACCAAGACAGCAAAAAAAGTCTCATTCATAGAGCAGTGAGGACCAAAAAGGTGTAAATGGGAATGATTTGCACTAATAAGCCAGCATTAGAGCAATATTTGGATTACACTGATAATTCTTAACTACTCAAGAACCATTTTCACAGTGTTTCTGTAACTCTGTAGCTCATTAAATGTATCTGAAAGATATTAAATTAAGGAGAGTTTATGGCATTTGCATTGAGCCTCAAAACGCTAGAGCATCAGAGAAAATGAAGTAGCAGCAAATAACATGGGAAATTAAGGGGAAAGCAAAACCTACCATGAAATAGCACATATAGCTAGAAATGTTCAATATTTGAAACATCTACAAGAGTTGCAGCAAAACAGCTATTATTATCAGAGTTTAAACAAAAAAGAGAAAAATGTTATTTTCTCAAGACTGACAAATAAGAGACATCTCTAAGGAGAACAGAAAGGTTCATGCTATGTGAAAAGCAAAATGAGGAAAGTTACCCACCCTGAGAGGCTGCCCTACAGAACACACTGGAGACAGTGGTACCCATTCTGGAACTGGAGTTAAAGATGAGGCAAACATCTGAATGCATATCTGTTTCTAAATCTCAAAAAAATCTCTTCTGGCAGTTGTCCAGTAAGGAGAATCTATGTTTTCAAGCATATGATAAAAGCTCTTGTATTCAATAACTTGGTCTGTTTAGCAAGTAATTATAAAAGGTCATAAAAGCAAAGTGCCTCATTCAATTAAACTTCTGAATTTTAAAAAGCTTTTATGTTTGAGAAAACAGCATCTCTTGTTGTAAGAGACATCTTTATAATTTCCAATTATTATCTGAAGGTTCCTCCTTGCTTCTCTGTAGGAACATCCAGCACTTTTTTCCCTATTTTTATGTCTTTATTCAGCAGCAAGGTTCAAAAAACACCTAGGATTTGAAAAGTTGTCATCAGTCCTGCTTTAATTACAGAAGTAGTAAAGAAACATTGCTTGCATCCTTGAAAAAACAACTGATCTGTTTTCTACACAATCAAATTAAGATGACCTTCCCCCAGGCTATACATTCTTTCCCAATATGATTACCCTATTAAAATTGCCATAAAAGAGGATAAATAAATAATACTTCATTATTCTATAAAAACTATTATAGCAGTAAATTGGTAAGACATCAAGGTCTCAGACTTGTAAGGATTAACTGATTCACTGAATGTAGAAAGTCATTATGATGGCTATTTTAAATATATCACTTTAGGTTACAAGTTTCAGATGACTCTTTTCCTTTACAGATAAATAACTTCAGAAATATTAACTTTTACATGCAAAAGCTCTCAAGAGGCTCTTCTTTGTCACAAGACTGAACAAAAACTCTTTGGTAACTAAAATTTAGTAAATATAACAAGGAAGGAGAAAACAAGTAACAGGCTTTTAGTTTAATATTTTGGACACATTGACAAGCCTTACTGGATATCTATTATTTTTGTTGGGTCTAGAAGAGCAAATATTCAGTGTGTTCATTCTCATACACCTAAGAAACCTTCAAGGAACACTTTCTGCTAAGGACCAAAACAAATCCCTACTCTGGTGACATTGTAATTTTTCCCTTCTCCCAGTGTGTTTAGGTTAAAAAGATTTCAGTTGCATGGATGAGTGAGTTCAGAGCCGGGGATCATGATCCTAGAGATGCACAAACCATTCAATAAATTTAATGAAAATTTCTAGAGCAGAGTTGAAGAAG